GTGCGGGGGGGGGAAAGGAGGATTAAGGCTAACCTGATGGTTAGGCGGGTATAGGGCGCGCTGTTGCTGGGGGAGGCATTCCAGCCAGAGCCATTCCAGGATGTGCGCATTGTCCTGGAGAAAACTCATGAGGGGTGGGAGCGCGGGAGGAGGGAGCACTGCGAGGGAATAAAGTCTGGCTACCGTGTCAACCATTTCGTTGAGTGGGTCTGCCTGGTGACCGTGCACGTGCTGCCATGTAAAGCGACGTTTCAGACCCAGGACCTTACACAGACTGTCAAGGCGACTTCTGTGCTCTATGAGTGGCTCGGCCACAGTACCGCCTTGGGCGGTAGAGACCACGTCCATGTTGTCTGAGTGAAAGGTGAGGGGAACGGCGGGAGGAAGCGGGGACTGTAGGGCCCATAGCGCCGCCCAGGTGGCGGCATCGAATTCTGCCTTGGCAGAGACTCTCGTTGCTCCTGTCAGCTCCGGTGTGGGGCACCCGAGGAAGCCGAGAAAGTGACGAGTGCCGTTGAGTCATGCAAAGACCAACAAAGCCCACGCTGGCGGGCCAGCGAGATCTCCTTTGGAGGCCCTTCCGCTGGCGTCGGTGTATATATCCGCGGAGTCGAAAGCCGCGCAGGGTGTGTCAAGGGCGAGGCTGTGCCAGGTAGGGAGGGAGGAGGAGTGGAGGGCGGGAAAAATGGCATTAAAATCCCTGACCAGCTGGATGGAGGTAGCCGTGAGAACCGGTAGCATCCATCCCATGGGCGGGAGCGGGCTGCGACGTATGCCTTGTCGTCTGCCCAGGTTCACCCGTGGGCAGTGTCCAGGGGGGCGACCTGAAAAACCGTGCCGTCGCGCGCTGCCTGGGCCAGGTCGTCCTGAGCAGCCTGTGCTGCGTGGGCCTCGGCTTCGGCGCGAAGGTCCGCTGCCTCTGCGTCTGCCATTGCATCAGCAGGACTGCGGGGGGCAGCTGTGGCGGGGGCCCCTGCACGGGACGTCAGCTCGGCCTCGGCTGGCGCTCGCCTGGGGCGGCGGGAGCCGCGAGGGCTCTTGCTGCGTGCCGCCTGCTTGCCTTCAGAATCTTCCTCGCTGATGCCTGATAGCGTGCGCTCGTCGGCCTGACCCGCGCGCGCGGATCTGCCCCTGGCCTGAGCGCTTGCGCTGCGGCGGGAGGATGCCATGGTGACTGGCTCCCCTTTATCATCAGAGAGGTCCCATCCGAGCTGGCTGGCAGAACGGGTAGGCGGGGGCAGTTCGCTAGGCTCCCCTGCGGAAGCTGCTGCTGGGCTCGACTGGTTGGTAGCGGCCTCTCCTGGTGGCGCAGTGGTGGACGCCTCCCCTGTCGGCGTCTCGGGCACTGGCGCTGGCCCAGGTTTAGGCACAAAACCTAGGCGGAAAAGCGGGCCCGCTCTGGCGGGAGCGCGGGCTTGTTCAGAACCTGACGGCGCGGTGGCCCCCCCCCGGGGCGTGGCGCCGTGGCTAGAGACGGCGGTTGGCACTAGTTGCCCGGCCTTGATCTGTAAGGCTAGGGTGTCTACTGCGTTGCGCATGGCCTGGGCCTGGGAGTCAAAACTTGCCTTGATGGTAGCTACCTCCCTGGCCATGGCCTCGGCGTTGCTCTGCATGGCCGCGGCGAGTGAGGTGATGTAAGGCTGTTCCAACCCTTGGATGCCTGGGAGGGGCGCGGGGCATTGGAGGAGCGGAGGGGAGGGCGGCGCGGCAGTGAGGGGCGTGGCCGTTCCTAGGTCTGGCGGGCCATCTCGATCTTCGCCCGCGTGCGATGCAGAGAGTGCCGCAGTGCGTTGTACTGCTCCTGGCTCGTCCGCCGCCTCCCCCATCATGAGCGAATCTGTGATGGCAGCGACTGGCGGCGCCTGCGATTTGAAATAAGCTAATAATGTAGATGCCTGGCTGAGGTCCGCTTGCGCGGTTTGAAGGGCCAGGGCGAGGTTGCGCACGTGCTCCTCTGCCTGTGCTTGCTTAGCAGCCAATTGCTCGCAATCGGCATGCAGAGAGGCCACCACGTGCTCTTGCTCGCTAATCTTGGCTAGCGGATCCCTCGCATTGGCCAATTGAAAATTAACTAACGAAATCTCCTTACGGATCTCGGTGATACGCATATCGGAGTGTCCTAGGAGGGTTGAGGCCCTGAGCTGCAGGATCAGCGCATCCTTGCTCATGGCAAGGGCCTTGCGGTGCTCCAGCAGGCGGTCGGGCTCGAGCGGGGGAAAGATCCAGGCCGAACGAGAGTGCGCCTCGTCAGGGGTGAGGATAGGGCATTGCGCCGCGAGCTCTGCTACTGAGAGCTCAGTGGCAGGATCCAACGCGCCGAGAGAGGAGAAGGCTTGGTCGGCCATGAGGAACGGAGACTGCTGCACAGAGGCGGGGCCGAAGAGTGTGGGGGGGGTGGCCTCACCTTCGGGAGGAGGCGCAAAAGGCGAAGGCTGCGACCGGGGAGACTGCCCGATGATGCCCGTGTCCTTGGCGCCGTGTGGGGTGCCAGGAGCCTTTGAGGCGGGCTGCTCCCCTTCGCTGCGCTGGGCCTCGCGGGCCCTGCGAGCCTCGTCCTTCTCCCGCTTCTTGCGCTCCTTGTTGGAGAACACTTCTGGCTGGACCGTGTGGTCTCCTGGGGGTGCGGGGAGTAAGCCGTACTCCGCTGCCCACGCAGCCACCTGGTCGAAAGATGGCGCATTTGACGGAGCATGGCCTTTGCCCATGTGTGCCCCACCCGTGCTTCCAGAAAAGGAGCGTGGGCCCTTGTGGCCCGGCCAGGGGCCCGCACCTTGCAGGGGCTTGTGCTGCTCCTGACCTTTGGCGGGGCCGGGTGTCGCATGCTGGGGTCCTGCCGCCCGAGTCGGAAAGCAGGTGGGGCATGAAACGTCCAAAGTGGTATTGGCCCGGCCGCACTGCAGGCAATACCAAAGCTCGGGAGGGGCGCTGCCTTTCTGGTGCACTGGCTGCTGGGGGGGAGGAAAAAAGTCAGCAGGCAGGCGCGTGGCATATAGGGACGGGGAGGGAGGAGCAGCCATACGCTGCGTAGGGGAGGTAGCCATACCGTGCTGCTGCAGCCCTGACGTTGGCGAGAGAGGCGTCGCGCGAGGCGGGGGCAAGGTCGTGGGGACAGCGCCTTGCTGCGGGAGGCCCTGGAAAGAGTGGTGGTGAGAGAGCATCATTGCGGCTTTATGCACTCTTAAAAGTGTGCGGGCGTTTGCGCGCTGTTTGCGCGCTCTGCGATGGTGAGCGGGCTCGTCGCGAGGCCGCTGGGGGTAGGAGGGAGGAGAGTAAGCAGGCGTCGCGCCTGGCGGATGGCGGCCCTTGCGGGCGTCGCGGCGGGGATCGGCGCGGAACCGGTTTGCAAACCGCTCGAGCCAAACCTTGAGCCAAAATGGCTACGGAGGATGATGGAGATAGAGCGGGGAGGGAGGGAGGAAGGGGCAGGAGAAGCATTGGGAGGACGGGGCAGGGCGAGGTGATGGGGGACGAGGGGGGAGGCAGAGGACGGCAGAAGGAAGAGGGAGCGATGGGGAGCAGGATGCGGGCCTCTGCAGCTCTGCACCGTGGCACTATCGTCGCTATGGACACGGCTGCGAGAGCACGAGGGAGGGGGAGGAGCAGGGGCGGCAGCGCGAGGAGGAGCGGCGGCGAGCCATTCGGTCCCCCTGGCCCTTGGCCTGGCCCGCCCGCCTGGGGCCGCTCCCTTCCCTCGGCACGACCGAGACGGGTACGCACACGGCGCGTACAACGTCGAAGAGCAGGAGGAGCAGGAGGAGGAGGAGGAGGAGGAGGAGGAGAAGGGTGGAGGAGGAGGAGGAGGAGGAGAGAGGAGGAGGGAGGAGGCGGAAGGAGGAGGAAGGAGGAGGGATGAGGAGGGATGAGGAGGAAAGGAGGAGGAGGGAGGAGGAGGAGGGAGGAGGAAGGAGGAAGGAGGGAGGAGGAGGAGGGGGAGGAGGGAGGAGGAGGAGGGAGGAGGAGGAGGAGGAGGAGGAGGAGGAGGAGAAGCAGGTCCTGCCCATTCTGAACAGGGCTCGCTGTCGGCGTCGCCGCGGTCGTGGTCCGTGTGCGGCAGGAGGCCGCCTGCCCAACAGCGACCGCTGTCTGGTTTCGGCAACGTGTGCAGTTAGACATTGTGCCCATGGTCGTCGCCCCCATGTTGGGCGTCCAGATTCCCTCGTCTGTGCTCCCTCTTCTCTTTCCCGCCTCCCGCTTGCGACCGCCCCTCTGCCCCATTGCCGCTCGCCCGCCTGCCCCAATCCGCGGGCCCAGGATTCCCACCTGCGCGTTTCGTCTTAATATGTGTGCAGTTCGTCTCTCTCTCTCTCTCTCTCTCTCTCTCGTTTTCCGCCGCCGCGCAGCACAGACTGCTGGCGGCGCGGGGCTAGCATGAGGGGAGGTTTGATTATTCCGTCAGCTGCATCTATATATATATATATATATATATATATATTGTTTGGAGCTCGTCCTGCTCTTGCACCCCCCGGGTCCTCTTCCTTATCCGCCTCTTTGACAGAGTTGCCCAACAGAGGAGGATGTTCCAAGGCTTTGGGAGCTGAGAATTCTTGGCGGGCTGCCTCGTTCGACGTTTTTTCTCCGCACCTCCTAAGAGCGCGCTGCGAGGGCACGATCTGCATTTTCGATCACGTCCCGTGAAGTAGGAGGTACGGCAGGGTTGCGCCGTCTGGACGCGCGCAGGCGCTCGAGACTGAAAAGGCTGCAAGTGGCCCGAGGTCGGCCGATATCCAACGAGTTGATAGGCGAATATTGGTCACAGGAGAACCGCGATGCTTCAGGCATGAACGATCCACGCGGTGTCAAGGACCAACACCGACGTCGTCGCGACGATGGCCAACTGTGTGAGATCTGGTACTGCGCATGCTGGTGCTGATGATCATGGTGATGACGTTGATGAGGATTGCGGCGAGAATTAAAGGGTCGGAGGAAGAGGAGGAAGAGGAGGAGGAGGAAGAGGAGGAGGAGGAGGAGGAGAGGTCGAAGCAAACTTGTGTGCCTGGGAGGTGCAGCACACCGACGTCCTCGAGAACAAGGTGACCGACATGAAGAGCCAGGTGAAGTTCCAGCTGAAGAAGGCCAGGCCCGGGAGTCCCGAGGGGGTCCCCGCGCGGGCCCCGCCCAGGCTCCTGCAGGACCCCGTGGCTTCCTGGAGGCCCCGAGCGGACCAGAGACACCTCCAGAAGCCTCGGCCGTCGAGAGAGGGCATCCTCGGTGCCCTCGGCGATCGAGGGTCGACGGTGGGGGACCGAAGTGCTCGGACGCGTCCGGGCGGCCCACGCCGACGACGACGAGGCCATCCCCACGGGGCCACGGCATCTCAGTCCCACCGCCCCGCCCCCACAGGTTGGCGATAGGCCTTTCGAAGTCACAAGGGAATAGCCCGTGTCCCGGCGAGCGCGGCCAGGGCCGTGCAAGTGGGGATGGGGGTCGGTTCACCGATGCTCTCAGGTTCGCGGGCTGACGACGCAGTGAAGGCTTTTTTGGTGGCAGATCTGCAGTCAGAAAACAACATGTTTGCAAAACTGGCCTCGCGGACGGCACATCATGACTCAACATGTGCACGGGGAGTGTTTGTTGAGGGCCGATTCGGGTTCAAGAAGACTGTCCAGTTGCGCTGCCGCGAAATGCCGCAACCGCGCTCGGGCGGGCGGGAGGCGGGGGTGCAAGGGGGCGGCGCTCGGGGGGGAGGCGGGAGGGTTCGCGGAACCCTTTTTGAGGACACTTTTATTTTTTTGGGGGCAATTTTTTATTTGGGCAATTGTTCATTTGGAAGGCAAGTCAGCGCAGGGACTTGGCCATAACAAGGTCGCGTCCTGGGGCGCCATGCGTCGGAGGGCCCAGATGACTTACTGCGTCACAGGAAGTTACCGTGTCCGACGCGGTGGCGGAGTTTTGTGAAAGAGGAGGAGGAGGAGGAAGACGAATAATAAGGAACATACTACTAAACATAATAAGACTAATACTATGAAGACGACTACTACTAATACGATTAATATGACGAATCAGAAGAAGCCGAAGCATGATGATAATAATAGTAATGATAATAATAGTAAGAAGGAAAACGAATCATAATAATATCCAGAAGAAGAGGAGGAGGAGGAGGAGGAGGAGGAGGAAGAGGAGGAGGATGAGGAGGAGGAAGAAAAAACTAATAAGAAGAAGAGGAGGAGGATGAGGAGGAGAAGGACGAGGAGGAGGAGGAGGACGAGGAGGAGGAGGAGGAAGAACAAGAAGAAGAGGAGGAGGAGGAGGACGAGGAGGAGGAGGAGGAGGAGGGAGGGGGATCTGCCCTCAAACGAGTATTTGTCAGAGGGTCGAAAGGCCCTCGTCCTCGACCCCCCCTGGCAGCGGCCATTGTCAGAGTCCCGAGGGCGCGGTGCTCGAGTCGCGGTGCGCTCCGCCCGGCTGCGGGCTGGCGCGTTCGCCCGGCTTCGGGCCCCCGGGACCTTCACAGGTCGATCTGGCTCGAAACATGGTGCAGAACGCTGGGGGTCCGGGGCTCTTTGTCCCGATTCCCGATTCCTCCTCCTCCTCCTCCTCCTCCTCCTCCTCCTCCTCCTCCTCCCTCCTCCCTCCTCCCTCCTCCCTCCCTCCTCCCTCCTCCCTCCTCCCTCCTCCCTCCTCCCTCCTCCCTCTCCCTCCTCCCGCTGTTGTGTTTTTGTTTGCGACGTCGGATCTCGAGCTGGGACGGGCGAGGATTCGCGGCCGAGGCTCGCCGTTGTCCGACCAGACCCTCCGTTCCCTGTTTTCCGCGTTCCTTCTGGTCGGGTGGGTCGGATCCTTAGGTCGGGCGGGTCCCCCTACAGGGGGGTTTTGGAAGAAAAACAGAAAATACCACCCCAACATATTCGAAACTACTCAAACATAGTCAAAACATCGTCCCCAAACTATTGTTTCACTATTTTTGAATACTCCCCCTGTAGAGGGACAGGCCTGGCTTAACTGTATCCCTTCCCTTCGCTTCCCCACTGGTCGCGAGCTGTATCTTCGGGAGTCTCCCACTGCCAGGGCCGAGTTTGATCAGGGGGCCGATCCTGTCAAGTCAAGGATACCCCTATCTTGTGTTTTGCGGTGCATGCCTTCCTACATCACTATGTCAAGGTGGCTCTAGGAAGGGTCTTGTGTCCTCTTCGTGTGCCCTCTCCAATAAAACTCGACGGCACCCCGTGCAGAGTGATGGTCGTGAGATGTACCTTCGGAAGCCTCCCATCGCTCACCTAATTATGCGGAGGGGTAGGCATCTCAGCCTCGTCTTCTCAACTGCACTGCTGCATGCGGGGTCGCCCCGACCCCGACCAGCGCCGCCTCGCCCCCTCTCGTCTTCCTCGCTCTACGCAGGTGCTCTGCATGGGCGTGGCCATTGGCAACGTCAACATGACCCCCGAGGAGCTGAGGATGAACTCGCTGATGGCGATCAACTTCCTCGTGTCGCTGCCCCGCCGAAGGATGAGGAGGACGAGGGAGAGAACGAGGAGGAAGGAGGACAACGACGAAGACCCCATCATCCTGCTAGCTCTCCCGCCCTGCCCGTTCCTCCTCGCCCTCCTTGTCGTCATCGCCAGGGGTCTCACGAGCCCACTAGCTATAGATAGAGGAGCTTCGACCCCCAAGCGCCTGCCTTGCCCTGCCTTGTCCTCATCGCCCTCCTCATCCCTACACTCCTCCTCGCCCTCCTCGCCCTCTCCATCCCCTCGCCGCGCCCTCCTCGCCCTCCTTGCCCCTGTACTCCTCCTCGCCCTCCTCCTCCCCGGAGGCACAAAAGCCACCTCCAAGTAATGGTTCGTATGTATGTGTGTGTGTGTGTCCCCGACCATCGCGGGCCTCATCCCTTGCTCCCCAATCGGTGCTTGCACTGAGGGGGTCCTCGCGGGAGTTGAAAGATGTGGCGAACATTTCCCGCCGATTCTGGTGGCAGGCTGGGTTCCCGGGTTCCCGGGTGCCCGGGCTCCCCGGTTCTTGGTTCCGGGCCGAGTGTTCGGTGGGTTCTGGGTCCCCGGCCTCCCGGGTGGCCGGTCGATCACCTCAGCGAAAAAGCATCCATTCATTGGGGCGTTGCTTTGGTGTAATTTGTCTCCCTCCTCGTCGTCCTCGTCCTCGTCGTCCTCTCCCTCCCTCCTCCTCGTCGTTCTCTCCCTCCTCCTCGTCGTCCTCTCCCTCCTCCTGTCGTCCTCCCTTTTCTTTGGTGTAATTTCTCTCCCTCCTCCTCGTCGTCCTCTCCCTTTCTACATCCTCTCTGCGCTGGCGACCCGGTGCGTGGGCGGCGCCGCCTTCGCGGCCTTCGCGGCTTCGCGAGCTCCGCTCGGCGACGTCGTCGTTGTCTGAAGCCGGGCCCGTCCCTCTACAGGAGGGATCTGCAAAAATAATACAGAAATATTCTGGGGACGATTTTTGGCTATTTTTGTTCATTTGGGGGGTAATTGATAAGTATATTGTTTTTTCGCCCAAAATCCTCCTGTAGGGGGACACGCGCGACTTAATCGTTGTCAGTGCCGAGCTTCAGGTTTCGCGCACGTCGTCGTCAATTCATTCCCGTCGATGGCTGTCTCTTGCGTGGTCCCTCATTGGAGGATCAGAGGGTCCCAAACTTCCCCGTGGTTTGTGGGGTTTCGTCCAGAGGTCGTCGGATTTGGTCGACGTCTGAACGACATTCAGATGACATTTTAACGAATTCCTGGACGAAAGTGTCCAGAGGGGTGGTCGGAATCTGGACGACTCTCGGTCGAAACCACGTTCGCGGTAGGGGTACGGAGGTCCACAGGGTATCCCATGAAGGTTCACCCGACATCCCCTGGTCTGGTTCGGGCAGGTATCCATTGGAACTTGGCATGTTCTCGACATTCCGTGTTTCGAGTGCATGCGCTAGCGCTTGGCAGTTGAATGAGGAAGCGCAGAGCTAGCGTCGACGGGCGTCGACGTAGCGTCGACGTAGCGTCGAGCAGCGTCGTGCAGCGTCGATTCGCGAGAGCCAGCAGGGTGTCGTGAGAGGACCCCGGGACTTGCCGCAGGATTCCGATCGCCGCGGTGCTGCGAGTCCCGAGGCGTGTTTTCCCTGCAGTCGGGCTCGACCTGCCTCTCGTGCTGCTCTCTCGGACTCGACGGGGAGCCCAGGAGGGCAAACGAAAGGGGGCAGGCCTTCCTCAGAAGGCGGCGGGGCTTCTCAGAAATATTCTCGCGACTTCTGATAAGCAGGCGACCGCAAACAAGGGGGCGTGGATTAGCGGCGGGTCCCGTTTCCGTAGGAAATCGCGGATCTCCGCTGCCGAACGAGGCGGCACGCGCGCCTCGGCGGAAAGTGGGGAGGGCACCTCTCCCGATGCATGGATTTGGCGACTGCGCGCCAAATCCATGCATCGTTCATCCAGGTTTGTGCGCCCCCGATTCTCACAAGGCGGCGGGGCTTTTTCAGAAATCTCCTCGCGCTTTGCGCGCCCCCGGTTCTCGGAAGGCGGCGGGGCTTTTTCAGCAATGTCCGCGCGACGTCCGAGGAGCCCTTTCTCTGTGGCCTCGGTGGAGGCCCGCAAGGCCTATACCTCCGACGGCGCAAGAGGAAGGGCTTCTCCGAGAGAAGGCCTCCGGCTCCCCCCCCTCCGGGGGCTCGCCGCCGCGGAGGCCCGCCAGGCGGGGGCCCGATCTGCAGGTCGGTTCTGGGCGGGCATCCTAATGTTAAGCCGGGCACGTCCCTCTGCAGGAGAAAGATTCAAGCACTGTAAAACAGATAGTCTGGGGATGGTTCTGGGAGGGTACCTGTGGCCACACGTGAACCCTACCCCCACCCCCCACGACTTCGAAGGGGTGTGGGTGTTCTCTTCGTTCGGGAGGTCTCGATTGGAGCGAATCCCCCCCCCCCCCCAGAAAACGTAGGGGGTGAGGGTAGGGTTCGCATGTGGCCACCTAGAGTATCCTAATGTTCGGGGAGGTTCCCTTTCGCTCCGGGCGTGACCCGTCCCCCTGAGCGGCTCGCTCCCTCCGCCCCCTCTTTTGGCCGCTTCCTCCTCTTTTCCCCACCCTCCTGCATGGTGGCACAATTCGCTTCAACGGTATCCCCGTTTAGGCCATCTCCGCTGGCACAGACCCGTGCCTCGCCGCCTACGCAAACACAATGCTCGGGGAGGGTAAGTACCTGAATGTTTCACGAAGTGCGTTTCTGCGTTCTTATCGGGCCCTGGGACCCTCACAGATCGGTGCGGCTCGAGACTTGACGCAGAAAGATGGGATCTAGGGCTCCGGTCGTGATTTTCTGCGATGTTGCACTTTTGTTTGCAACGTCGGATTGAGGGGAGGTCTACGATCGCGGTCCGTTCTGGGAGGGCACTCTAATGATCTTCGTGTTTGTTGGGTTTTGATGTGCATCCTGGGGAGGGTACCCTTTGATGTTCTGTGTGTTTTGGCCGGCGGAGGGTCTCGTGTTCTTGGAGGATGCTCTTCTGTCCCAGGTCCGATTGTGCCCCCCAGTTGCTCTCTTGAGCATTCCTCTGTGCTGATCTGTATCCTGCCGCTCCTGCACGCGGCTGGAGAGCGCCTGGACGGGGATGTCCCGCCACGTTGCCCCAGCGATGCGTTTTGGTTGTGGGAGGAGATCTCGGCATCGCTCGGGCGTGTGCGTTGTTTTTTGTCTCGGAGAGGTCCATTGAGGATCATCTTGGTTCATTTCGCGCACGAGGAATGGACGTCTCAGCGATGGCGAGAGGAGTGTGTGCCGTCTGACATCATGCTTCCCAGGCAGACCGGCAATGCTTGCTGCCAGCAGCCTATTTTTTCTTTGGCGCGGATTTGGCTGCATTCAGGATGGGCAGAGTGGCAGATCGATTTCGCGATTTCGCCCGATCTGCTTAATGAAAGGGTGGGGATATGTTACAAGTGGCATTGGTCATCACGAGATGGAGCGAGAGGAAGAGGAGGAGGAACGCAGGAAGGCAGACTAGCACCTGAGAAGTTCGGCACTGCTTTTCGCGGATGGTTGCGTCAGGGCTCAACCTGAACGGTGTTGTTCGTTTTCGTTGTGTTTTCGTGCTCCTTCGTTTTGTCTTGAATTCGCCTTCGTTGCAAAACGACATCGAAACGAAAACGGCCCACGAAATTGCCAAAACGCAGTTTAGGTCCACCCCTGGGTTGCGTTGTATGATCTATGATGTTGTACGGATCTTTGTCCTCGAATGCGGGGAATTACATCGTCGGCACCACTCCGTCGTCATATGCTGAGGCAGCGCTCTGCATGCTTTGGGGCTGTCCACGGGTCCTGGTGTCGACGTCCTGCTTTTTGGAACACCAGGGAACACATGCACATCATGTAATAAGAGCGGAAGGAGCACAGAGCCAAAACATATTGGGGCACAGGGCATGGACCGCATGGCAGATCTTCTCCACCTCGAACGTCTTCGTTGGCCAAACCCACTTTCCAGAGAAAGCTATTGTATGCGAGTTGAAACCGAGCAGCGCCCGCTGCCCCTCGACCTGTATGTAGAAGAGTGCTGCGCAGGATGAGAACGAGGAGGGGCAAGTGGCGCGCGAACAGGGTATGATACTACACAGGAAGAGAATTGAGTAGGACGAGGCGGAGGACTTGCAGTGTTCGAGTGCCGTTCGCGGGGGAGGGGGGGGGGGAGACGCAGCGGAGCAGGGGCCGTGCAGCGCAGCATCCTGGGGGCCGGGAGCGAGGTCGCTGCTGAAGAAGAACTGGAACAACATCAAGCGCCTGCACATCAAGAGATCCCGCTCCGCGTGCCCGTGTCTCTCGAGTCCCCCCGTTGCTCGGCCTCTCTCGTCCTCGCCACCGCCCTCCAGCGCACGAGAGCAGATGCTCGTGTGCAGCCTGGGCTTGGCGGCGAGGGAGAGGGGGGGATGGTGGTCGTTTTTGCTTATCCATTGTTTTGCCGATCGGCGCGGGCCATCGCTCCCCCCCTGCCCCACTCCTATGGAGTAGATTTTGGCTTCTCTTGCCTGTTTCGAGCAGGTGGGTCCCTACCCGAAGCAGAGGTCCGGAGCCAGACCCCCCCCCTCCCCCCCCCTTTCGCCCAATGCCGAAACTCCGAATAAAAAAGAGAACGCTCACATGGGAGAAGGAGAAGGCCTTCTCAGAAAGCGTCGGTACTGCTCAGAAGCCCTCGCGCCTTCTGAGAAGTGTTTGTGCGTCCTCGGGGAAGGCATGGGACACTTCTCGGAAGGCTGGGGGACGTCCGAGCCCTCTGAGGAGGCCCGTCCTTTCTCACTTCCCCCCCCTTGCTCGCCGCCGATCCTTGACTCTCCCTGTCCACAGCAGATGCGGCTCCAGTTCCACCTCAGTGCTATCGTCGATTCCGCCCGTCGACCCGGTCGCTCCCTTCCACCTTCCCCCTCCTCCTCTCCGGGGCGGCACCCCGCCGTCCCCATCCTGCATCCTCCACTTGCTCCTGCGTCGTCGTGGCCCCTCCTCTCATTCTCCCTCCTCCCTCCCGCCCTATTCCTGTCCGGCCCTCTCCCGCCAGTCCTGCATCCTCCCTCCCCATCCGTCGCCTCCTCCTCGTGCGCCTCCTCCTCTGGCCCGCCCGGCAGGAGCACGATGGGCAAGCCGTTCACCGTCTACGGCTGAGCGCGAGAGATCCCCCCCCCCCGACGGCGCTGCGGACGCGAGCCCTCGAAAGAAGCGTCAGCGGGCCGGGACCCTCCAGAGCGTCAGCAGGCGCGCATTCTCCCGCCTGATATCGCGTCCCGCATTCTTTTGATGGTCCTGTTTTCCACCACCACCATTTGTTGGAGGGGGAGGGGTCCTTCTCCTCCTCCTCCTCCTCCTCCTCCTCCTCCTCCTCCTTCTCGTTCTCCTCCTCCTCGTCCTCCACCTCCTTCCCCCCCTCCAACTTATGGTGGTGGTGGTGGAAAACAGGCCCATCATCTTCGGCTCGGGGTACGGAGGACAACGAGGCTCTCCCCTCAACAGCTTGTCTGCAAGAGTTCTTCCGTCGGTCCGACGGGCGTTGTCGCCTTTTTCTTGCACGACGGGCGTTTTCGTCTTTTTCCCTACCTAGGCTCTGCCTAGAAGGGTTCTTACTCTGAGGCTTAAAGTGCCGGGCAGTGGAATGCGCCCCGGGCGGTTCCCCCGGCATCCGCCTTTAGCTCAGATGTATCTTAGCTTAGCTTACCTTCACCTTAGCTTCGCTGAGCTTTAGCATAACAGAGCACAGCATAGCCTAGCCTAGCGTAGCATAGCATAGCGCAGCACAGCATATCATAACATAGTTCAGCCTAACATAGCATAGCGCAGCATCGCATAGCATAGCATAGCATAGCGCAGCACAGCACAGCACAGCATAGCACAGCGCAGCATAGCATAGCGGAGCAGAGCATAGCATAGCACAGCAGCAAAGCAAAGGCAAATCAACAGCAGCGACAGCAAAGCAAAGCACAAGCAACGCAAAACAAAGCAAAGCAAAAGCAAAAGCAAAGCAAAAGAAAGGCAAAGCAAAAGCACTGTGCGACAGATGCCGAGCTCCACTACCTAGGCTCTGCCAAGAGGGTTCTTACTCGCTGGGCTTAAAGGGGCCGGGCAGTGGGCTTCGCCCCAGGCGGTTTCCCCAGTCCCCGCCCTGCGGTTCCCCCAGTTGCGCCCCTTTACCTTAGCTTTGCGTATCTCATCTTAGCTTAGCTTAGCTGAGTTTCATCTTAGCTTTGCGTAGCTGTAGCTTAGCTTAGTTTAGCTTTAGCTTGGCTTAGCTTATCATCGCATAGCGCAGCATAACATAGCATAGCATAGCATAGCATAGCGCAGCATAGCACAGTATAGCATCGCATAGCGTAGCATAGCATAGCATACCACAGCCTAGCATAACATAGCGCAGCCTAGCGTAGCATAGCATAGCGCAGCATAGCATAACATAGCATAGCATAGCATAGTGCAGCATATCATAGCATTGCATAGCATAGCAGCAAAGCAAAGGCAAAGCAACAACAGCAACAGCAACGCAAAGCACAAGCAACGCAAATCAAAGCAAAGGCAAAAGCAAAAGCAAAGCAACATAAAGGCACAGCAACACCAATGTGCGACAGATGCCGAGCTAGCCTCGATGGCCGGACCGGAGCCCCCACAAGCAAAAGCAAAGGCAAATACGACGATGAGGAGAAGGAGGAGGACGGCGTTTACCGTTACTACTAATGCTGCTTTCCTAGGGTAGGGTCGCACTGGGGTAATGTTTAATCGATTCGCTCATTCTGCCGGCTCTCTTGGGGCTCCTTGGCGGCGTCTTGGGGCCCACTTGGGCCTCTTGGGGGGCTCTTGGGGGCCTGTTGGGGCGGGGTAGTCGAGTGCACCCCCCTCGGAGGCCACGATCCTCGTGAGGGGTGTCGAAAAAAGGCCCTCAAAACCATCTCTGAGTAGACCTGGTCGGGCTGCGGTCGAGGTACTTTTCGCCAGGGGACGGACCTCCAGGGGCCGCCCCGTCCGCGCAAACTAGAAATATGGTCAACCAGCTGCCAGGGATCTTAGCACGCCTCTGGCCCGTTGGGCCGGCGAATGTTTGATCGGGCCCCAGGGCCCTCACAGATCGATGCGGCTGGAGAACATGACGCAGAAAGATGGGGTTTGGGGCTTCGGTCGTGAGTTTCTGCGATGTTGCATTGTTTCGCAACGTCGGATTCAGGGGGGTGTTAGATCGAGGTCGGTTCGGGGAGGGTACCCTAATGAGCTTAGTGTTTGTTGGGTTTTTCTTGTGCATCCTGGGGAGGGTACCCTCGGATGTTCTGTGTATGTTGGCCGGCGGATGGTCTCATGTATTTAAGAGAATGTCGGTGTCGGGCGGGGTTAGGACGCGGATAAATCCGTTCCAAAGAGTTCTGGATCGCTCTCAGAGCGTTCTGAAACGTTCTGAGAAGGCCGCGGCGCCCGAGACATCTTCCAGAGCCACCGGATCTCAGAGATTCCGGAATTATTTTCGTCCGATGTTATCATCTTCCTGGTTTCGTCTCAGGATGTGCTGTCTTTGGTCCGGCTGTAACTCATTCTCTCCGGCGCCCAGTGGGGGATGCCGAAGGGCCCCCGAAAGCGGTGCCCCGCCGTGGCCTCCCGTCACGATTGCGTGAAAAGCTGTTCGGGCCAGCTGCCGCAAGAGTTCCGCTTTCTGTTGTGAGGAATGCATTCGCGATTCAGCCGCGGGTGCGGAGTTGGGCGCCCTGGCGCGGACGGCCGAACGACCCCTGCAGCGGGACGCCCTGGCCACGCGGTCGCCGCCGCGAAAATTGCCCGTTCAAGGCTGGCGCCGCGCAAAGGCTGCGCCGAACAGAGTGTTCGGCGCGCGCTCGCGCCATGGGCGACATGGGACACATTGGCGACGTGGGCGACATTGGCGACGTGGGCGACATGGGCGCCCACGTTGCGCCGAAGGCACTTTGGAAGCAGATGCTCGTTTCGGGGACCCTCCTGCGGCCCACCTAACGGATCTGTTCCACTCTGGTGTTGTTTCCAGTTCGTCTCAGGGTCGGCTCAGGTTCGACTCTGGGTCGGTTCAGCTTAGCTCCGCTCCAGTCGACGGACGTTCGACGCAGTTTCGACGCACGAGTGGAGCGAATTGCTCTGGGAAGGTCCCCAGAATGAGCACCTAAGGATGTTGCACCTGCAGCTGGCCAATGGCGGCTGGTAAGCAGAGCCACATTTGGCGCGGGCGTTGAGAGGCTGGGGACACAGCTCGGGCGTCATGTGGACGGAGGGGGGGAGGGGGAGGGGGGCCACTGGGCCACTGAGGCACAGGGCGACAAGGCATTCATGCTTCCGGTTGCTGCCAGACGGGGCACCTACACCGCGCAGGCGCCCACGCCACGCCCGCCAGCCACCAGGGGCAACCAGAGGGGGCCATGGGACAGGCTCCGGGGGAGGAAGCATCGATCCCAAATCGCCTATTCATCGCCGATCGGGGCCCGGGTGTCCCCACCCTGCCCAAGGACGTTCGGTTTCGGAAACGGGGACTCATCGCCGATCTGTCGGCGACGCGTCGCCGATTCCAGGCCAGTGATCCCCCCAACGGCGTGCGATTGGGTGGCCGACCAGGCGAGGCACAGCACCCCGGAGGAGGAGCATGCGGACGCGGAGGAGGACTGAGAGGACGCAGAGGAGGAGGAACAGAAGGAAGAGGAGGAGGAGGAGGAGGAGGAGGAGGAGGAGGAGGAGGTCGACGACGACGACGACGACGACGACGACGACGACGACGACGAGGACGACGACGACGAGCAGGAGGGCAAGGATGTGTGGGACGAGGAGGAGGAGGGCAAGGAGGAGGAGGAGGAGGGGGCGAGGAGGAGGACGAGGACGAGGACGAGGACGAGGAGAGAGGGAAGGGGTGGACGAGGAGAAGGAGGAGGACGCGCAAGGACGCGCCGCCTCCGTTCGCCGCGAGGGCTCGGGAGCGGGCCAGGGCGCCTCGCGCCGCATGTCCCCGCGGCCCGCCGCGCGATGCCCCCGGGCTGCCCGCCCGCGGGAGGTTCTGCGGGCCCTGGGGGTCTTGTTTGTCGGTGCGATCGACACGGGTTTTGCGTCTCGTTCATCCTTGTCGGTCGCTAGGCAACTGCCGGGGCTGAATCGGCACAGCAAGGAGCGATCTTTCTGATGGATTGGCACTTCGATGCCCTACACGATACACATAGATCTAAGGGCTGTCGGCCAATCCTGTCACCGTGATTTGCTTGTGGGTGAGGCCTTTGTTTTCGCTTGGATATTGTGGGAGGCATCTCGCGGGCCTCTTGGACGCAGTTTGGAGGCATCTGGGGGGTCGTTTGGGGGCCTCCTTTTGGGCCTCTTGGGGGGCTTCTTGGGGCAGAAGACTCGGATTGTCAGTTCGTGCTCCTCTTATTTGGCCCCCCTTGGGGCCGTCTTTGGGGCCATTTTGGGTAATCTTGGGCGCCTCTTTGGCCATTTTGGTGTCATCTTGGACCGTCTTAGGGCCCTCCTGGGGCCCTCTTGGGGCGGTCTTGGGGGCCTCTGGGGCCATCTTGGAGCATCGAAAGCCCGCAAACGCGAAACAGCGAAAAACACAGGAAAACAAACGGACACTCAATGCGTGTTGCCTCTTTGGGCCCTCTTGGGGGTCCTGGAGTGCTCTTGGGGCTTCTTATTGCCCTTTTGGGCCGTCTTGGAGCCATCTTGGGCGTCTTGGAGCGCTCTTGGGCTGTCTTGGAGGCCTCTCGGACCCTCTTGAGCGCTGTCTTGGGCCCTCTTGGTCCGTCTGTGGGCCCTCTGGCCTCCTGGGAACGTCATGCGATGCAGTCCAGGAACGCGCGGGAACGCCAAGGACATTTAAGAATTTCGGGCCATGGCTTCCAGAATACTGCCCGAGTCCTGTTTACAGAGAACACAGGATACACGAGAGCCTGGTCAAAACTCCACTTCACGCCTCGTGGCACGGTGGCGGGCATGTATGTAGGTATGCAGGTATGCAGGTATGCATGCATACATGAATGCATGCATACATGTTTATATGTAGGTACGTACGTATGCACAGGTGTGCATGTATGCGTGCATGTATGTGTGTATGTATGTATGTATGTGTATGTGCATGTGCATGTGCATGTGCATGTGCATGTGCATGTGCATGTGCATGTGTATGTGTATGTGTATGTGTATGTGTATGTGTATGTGAATGTGTATGTGTATGTGTATGTGTATGTGTATGGGTATGTGTATGTGTATGTGAAGTGTATGTATATATATACACATATATATATACATATAGATATATACATATATCTATATATATATTGTGTATGTATGCGTGTACGTATGTATATGTGTATGCATGTATGCGTGCATGCATTCACCTGAGCATACGTGTATGTACGTATGTTTGCATCGATGTGTGTGTATGTAATATTGCATGCAATAATGCATATAGATGTGGATATGTATGTATTTGGATGTACGCATGTATGGATTGATGTATGCACGTATGTATGGACGTATATATGTGTATGCAGACGTGCATGGTAGTACCTATGTATGTGTATGCATGTGTGTAGTCATACATGAATGCATACATGCTTGTATGTTTGTATGTATGTGTGCATGTATGTATGGGTACCTAGATGCATGCATGTCTGTATGCATGCATGCATGCATATATGTATGAATGTATGAATGTATATATGAATGTGTGTGTGGTTCTCTGTACGTTTATATGTATGCATGTATGTATGTATGTACGTATGTATGTATGTATGCATGTGTGTCTATGTGTATGTGTGTATGTATGCATGTATGTATAAACGTATGTGTATGTATGCTCATGTGTGTATGTGTGTATCTATGTATGCATGCATGCATGCATGCATGCATGCATGCATGTATGTAAGGTCAGAGGGCTCCCATTTGTCTATTGGGGGTATTTTGGGAGGCCTCTGGCGGTTTCGAGGGTGTCTTGTGGCTTTTTGTTGGGGGGCCTCTTCGGGCCTGATTTGGGCCTCGTGGGGGCCTCTTGGTTTCTCTTGGGCGCACCTCGGGGGCTTGTGGGGAGATCTTGTGGCCATCTTGCAGCGAAGGGTTCAAAATGCAAGGTCGTGTTACCCATCTTGGGACCGATTTTTAGGCCGTCTTGAGGGCCTCTTTGGCCGTCTTGCGGGCTTGTGGGTTGTTCTGGGGCGATATTAAGCGTCTTGGGACGCTCTGAGAGACCGAGAAACTTGAAATATTGTAAAAACCATGCCAAAGCACTTGATTTTGTCAAAGTTGGCCTTGAGCCGCCCTCTGGTCCTTCAAGACGGGCAAAGAGGCGCCCAAGAAGGCTCCATGATTGTTGCTTGGGCCATCAGAAAGTATGTTGGAAATGCATGTCCCGAACAATGCGCCCTTGGCCTCTCGGAAAGTCATGCGGGGATCCCCTGAGGGCGCCCAGGAGCGCCCGGAAGCGCCCGGAGGTCTCAGCTGTGGGCACCTCTAAGGACATTTGCACAACACAATACAGAGAGCTCGAAGGAGCCTAAGCGCCGTCACTTCGTGCCTCAAGGCAGGGTGGCGGATATATATATATATATATATATATATATATATATACATATATACATATAATATATATAATATATATATATATATATATATATATATATATATCGGAGTAGGGCCCGGGGGTGGCCCGGGGCGTTGCCAGTAATCTCCATGGGGGGTGCAGGGCGCCCCCGGGAGCGTCTGAAGCGTCCCGGAGGGCCCCTGGGACCGCCAGGAACAGCTCGAGACCGCCCAAGACGGCCCGCGAGCGCTCCAAGACGCGCATAGATAGCTTCAAGAATGGCCAGGAAGGCCCGAAGACGTTCCAAGAGAGCTCCATGAGGCCCCGAAGGCATCCCAAGAGGCCTCCCAAGAGAGCCCCGACAAGCCAAAATCGTTGATATTAATTTATTTGTTTTCTGGGTTTTTGGCCTTCTCGCTTTTTCGGGGTTCCGACGCTCCAAGGCCGTCCAAGAGTCTCCCAAAACCGCTCCAAGACGGCCGAAGAGGCCCCCAAGACCGCCCCAAGACGGCCCAAGAGACCCCCAAAATCGTCCCAAGATGGCCCAGGAGAGCCCCAAGATGGCCCAGGAGCCGCCCAAAACGGTTCCAGGAGAGCCCCGACACGGCTTCAAGATTGCCTAAGCAAGCCCAGCGGTCCCCAAGAGGGCCCCGCGAGGCCCCAAGAGGCCCCAAAGAGGCCCCCAAGAGCCTCCCCGGAGGCCCCCAGAGGCCCCCAAGATGCCCAAAAATGGCCCTGAGCGCGCCCCAAGACGCCTCCAGGAGAGCCCAACAGGCCTCCGAGAGGCCCCCAAGAGGCCCACTGGAGGCCCTCAGGAGGTCGTCCCCATCATGTTCCCGGAAGGCGGTCCGGGAACATGATTCCGCGCCTTGGAGGAGTATTCTGCGCCTTCCGAGGCGCCTTGGACGACGTACGTATGTTTCTATATATTACCTTTCTCCAGTGTGCACAATCCTACATGTTTTACATATGTTTCTCCTCTATACATATATATGAATATATATGTATATGCATATGTATATGTATGTGTATTTACACACATATATATATATATATATATATATATATGTGGGGGGGGGGCTCACTTTGCCCAGTGGCTGTGGTCACCCCCCCGCCGGAGACGCCAGGACGCTCCCAGGACCTTCTAAAATGGCTCCAGGACGCCCTCAGGACAGCCCAAGAGAGGTCCGAAGTGGCCCGGGAGCACTCCAAGGCTGTCAAAAAGCTGCCAGAACGTCCCAGCAGGTCTCCGACAGCACTCTCGGGAGGGGCCCACTATAAATTTGTCACTGATTTTTTGTGCGTTTTGACGGGTTTTGGCGTTCTCCCCAGTTCGGCTTCCAGACGCTCCAAGGCGGCCCAAGAGGCCCGAAAGATCGCCTCACGACGAGCCCAGAGGCCCCCAAGAGACCACGGAGACAGCCCAAGAGGGCCCCAAGACGGCCCAGGAAGCTTCCAAGACGGCCCAAAAGAGCTCACAGAACACTCCAAGAGGAGCCCCAGATGGGGAACACGAACTGACATTTCGAGCCCTCGCCAACCAGAAGCTCCCAAGAGGCCCCCAGGAGTCCGCAAGAGGCCTCGAGAGGCCCCCAGGAAGCTCCAAGAGGCCTCCAAAAGGCGCCGAAAGGGCCCCGCAAGGCTTCCAGACGCTGGTGATAATGACAATGATGATTATACAGGGCGGCCTCAGGCCCACAACCCAAATCCCCAATACTGCTCACGCGGCATGCAAGACGCTGCGGAGATATCCTCGAATTCGACGGGGGAGCTTCGGAGACGACGGTGACGAAAATGATGATGATGACGACTTTTATGAAGTTAACGACGACGACGACGACGACGACGACGACGACGACGACGACGACGATGATGATGATGATGATGATGATGATGATGATGATGATGAGGATGAGGATGAGGATGAGGATGAGGATGAGGATGAGGATGAGGATGAGGATGAGGATGAGGAAGAAGATTATGGTGATGATGATGTTGACCGTGGGAATGATGATGATGATGTTGATGATGATGATGATGATGATGATGTTGATGATGGTGATCGTGATGCGAGTGATGGTGATGATGATGGTGGTGATGCTGACGATCATGATGACGATGACGGTGATGCCGTTGAGGATGGTGAAGTTGACGATCATTATGAACATGCTGCTGATGGGCAGGGTGATAACGCCGATGCTGATAATAATGGTGGCGATGCTGTTTATGGTGCTTGTGATGCAGGAGTGGGCGGATGATGAAGATGATGACGATGATGATGACGATAACGATGACGACGATCACGACAACGACGATAATGATGACGATGGCGATGATGAGGATGAGTATGTTGATAATTCAGGTGACGATATTGGCGATGATGACGACGATGGCGATGATGACGATGGTGATGATGACGATAGTGATGACGATGTTGCTGCTGATGGTGGTGATGGTGACGATTGTGATGATGGTGATGGTCATGGTGGTGATGACGATGCCGCTGACGATGACGCCAGATATGATGGTGATGAGGATGGCGATGATGACGATGACGATTATCCTAGCTAGAACTTGAGCGCGCGCGAATCGCGCGCGCTGGCTCTAGTATGTATGTATGTGTACAAGATATATGTATATACTTCTGTATAGATGTATGTATGTATGCGTATGTGTCTGCGTATCTGTATATGTGTATGTGCATATGTCTGTGCAGACGTTTACGTATGTGGCGATGAGTCCCGCCATCCCCCCTTGGGCGTGGCGTGCCGCACCCCCCCCCGTGGGAGTGGGGTCGTGCGGGTCCCCTCCCTTCGGTGGGTGTGGGGTGGTGCCGCGGTGCCGTCGTCGATGTCGTCGACGTCGACGTCGTCGTCACTGTCGGCCCTTTCGTCGTCGTCGTCCTCGTCATCTTCCGTTGCCGACGTCGTCGTCGTCATCGTCATCGTCGCCCCCCCCATCCCAGCCGGAGGGCGGGTGCTAGGAACCCAGGGGGCTCCTACCACCATTTGGGGGGGGGCCCAGAGGGCACGGTGCCCCGGCTCAAAGATTTGCACAGGCGTAGAAAAAAAAGGCGACACACACCAGAGTTTTGAAAATTGCACGCGGCGGGCATATAGCATAGGCGACATCGCGCCGGAGATATGTTGCTTCGACTTCCCCAGTCCAAGCCCCAGGGCCATTGGATATATCGACACGTGGCAAGAAATGGGCCAGGATGGAACCCATGATGCGGTCCTTGGACTGAGATTGAGGACGAATGGAGGGAGCGAGGAGGGAAGGGAGGAGGGAGAAAGCTGAGGAGGAGAGTGAGGGGGAGGACGACGAAGGTCGAGGATGGGGTGCGAAGGGATAATCATACCGGGTGAGCAGGGAAGAAAGAATGGAAGAGAAGAGAGAAGAGAGGAGGGTGAATAGAGGGGGGCCTCATCCTGCTGCTCCTCCTCCCTACATCCCCTCCTCGTCCTTCTGCCCCTCCTCCTCCCCTCCTCCGGGGGAGTGGGGGGCGTCTGGGGGGAGAGAGAGAGAGAGAGAGACTGAAAACCGATATATATATATATATATATATATAACAAAACACATAGAGAGATGGGGGGACCTCCTCCTCCTCCTTCTCCCTGTTCGCTTCCTCCTCTGTCGCCCCTGCCCTGCTCTTCCCCGAGGTACCGATGGAGGGAGGTGGCTGGTGGAGCGGCCAGAGTCGGGGCTGGGGCGCTCGCGCGAGGGCAATCGCCCGAGAGGGCTTCTCACGGTGAATTCGTTCCCGTCCGACCCCTCAAGTCCACAGGAGGGAAAGGTGCCGTTCTTCTCTTCGCCTCGCCTCCTCGTCGTCGTCGCCTGTCGTCGAGGCCCTTCCCGCCTCTGCCGGGCTGTCGATGCCCCCGCTTCCGTTGCCAGCGTCTCCGAGCAGGACGTCGCCTCTTCTTGGGCGTACCCCAGGGGCCCCGAGGAACATAGGAGGAAGGGGTGCCCATACCGCAACCCTTTCCTCGCTTTCCCCTTGTGGATCCTCCTGGGATGCCCTCGCCGCTAGGGCTGGCTTCGCCTCGACATGTAGGTCCCCACGCACCCTGGGAGGGGTCTGGGGAGCAGCGGTCGGTACCTCATGGTTGCCTCACAATCTCCTATTCCGATCTCGACCCGGTCCGATCCGGCACTGACCGACCCCATTCCGTTTCTGGCTTGCTAATTCCGGGGCGCCAATTTGGTCCGCGGCCCCAAATAGGATCCGATGCCGCGCCGATTTTCGGTCGCGAGCCGATCCGTGTTCGAGATCCGCTCGGATTTCGCGATTCGATGCGTTTCAGGCATGCCTCTCCTCCTCCTCCTCCTCCTTCTCCCCTTCCTCCTCCTCTTCTTCCTCCTCCTCCTCATCCGCCTCCTCCTCTTCCTCCTCCTCCTCCTCCTACTCCTCCTCCTCCGCATGCCTGGGCTTCTTCTGCCAGGGATGCCGAAAGCGTGACGGAGCAAGCCCAGACCTCTGACGATCTGATGATCGTCAACCGCGGCGTTGATTTCTTCGCTTCGGCCCACCAGGGTTAGTTCTTTTCTCGGGTCCTGGGGGCACCAGGGAAGTGCCGTGGACGTGGAACAACACCAGGGAAGCCGTTCGGGAGGTCTGGGTCCGCCGCTGTGAGAATGCACACCGTCGAATGTTTGGGAGTGGTGGCGAAGACCGACAGCAGTGTTTTCCATTTCGAACAGGACTCGCTGCTGTCGAAGTCGCCGCCGACGTTGTCCATTTGGGACAGGCATCGCCTACGCGCCGGTCGTTGAAAGTAGGTACTTCTGGGCTCCCAGATCCCAATCTACCTCTGACGCCTACCTACTTCAAGGACTGGTTCCTTCCTTCCCTCCTCTTCAGGGGGCGGGCGGAAACCCAATGTACCTCAACGCCTCACTACCCCATGTTTTTACCCACTTCTTCCGACCGGCGTGCACCCAACTGCCCAACAACCACCATTGCCGGTTTGGGAGAGCATGTGCTGTTGGGCATTGCCCACCCTGCGGGAGTTCGGATATACTCAGCGAGGCCGTGGCCTCGAGAGCGCGGACGGCGGACTGCGAGATCGGTCGGGGAGCCATCGTCAGGTAGGGAGGCATGTGGGCGGGCAGATCGGCTGCAGGGCGGATGGTGCGATGGAGCTGCTCCGGTAGCCATTCATGCAGGAACAGGAGGAGGAACAGGAGGAGGAACAGGAGGAGGAGGAGGGGGGAGGGGGGAGGGGGAGGAGGAGGGAGGAAGAGGAGGAGGAGGACGAGGAGGAGGAGGACGAGGAGGAGGAGGAGGTTGAGGAGGAGGAGGAGGAGGAGGAGGCGGAGTCGGAGGGAAAGGGGGAGGGGGAGGAGGAGGGGAGGGGAGGAGGAGGAGGATGAGGAGGGAGGAGGAGGAGGAGGGGAGGAGGAGGAGGAGGAGGAGGAGGAGGAGGAGGAGGAGGAGGGAGGAGGAGGAGGAGGAGGAGGAGGAGGAGGAGGAGGAGGAGGAGGAGAGGGAGGAGGCGGAGGCGGAGGGAAAGGGAGGGGGAGGAAGAGGGGGAGGGGAGGAGGAGGAGGAGGAAGAGGAGGAGGAGGAGGAGGAGGAATAGGAGGAGGAGAGGAAGCGGAGGAGGAGGAGGAGGAGGAGGAGGCGGAGGAGGAGGAGGAGGAGGAGGAAGAAGAGGAAAAAGAGGAATAATAGGAGGAGGAGGAGGAGGAGGATCAAGAGGAAGAAGAGGAATAATAAAAGGAGGAGGAGGAGGAGGAGGAGGAGGAGGAGGAGGAGGAGAAAGAAGACGAGGGGGAGGCGCTGGGATCGGGGCGCCCGGGACGGACGGAGGGCGAGCGCGAGCTGGGGCCCAGACCCCCGCCGTCGTGCCTTTTTCGCCACGTCGGCCCTTTGATGTCTCGACCCCTTCCCCGGGACAGGTTTCTCCTCCCGAGTCGGTTTTCGACGGCCCCGAGGCCCGGCAAGGGCCCCTGGAGGTCGACAGTGGCGAAAGACCTCCCGTCGCGATTTTTGGCACAACGCGAGGGGGTCTGGGGAGCAGGACGCCTTGGAGGCCAGGGCCTCAGAGGGGGGGCCCTCGGCCGTGCCAGCGCCAGGGGCCCCGGGCGGCGCTGGCGGCGAGCGGCCCGCGCTCGTCGTGGACGTGGGGGCCGCCGGCGGGCGCTTCGGGCCCCCGGGGCAGCCGGCGCCGGGGTGGACGGTCCGCCTCCCTCGGGGACGTTGGAGGCCGCTTTCCTTGGCTCAGACCCAGGCCCCCCCGCGTTGTGACAAAGATCGCGACGGGAGGTCTTTCGCCGTTCTCGGCCTCCAGGGGTCCTTGTTGGACCTCGGGACCGTCCAAAAAAAAAGTCAGAATGCGAAACCGGTCCTGGGGAAGGGGTCGAGACCTCTGGGGGTCGACGTTGTGGAAAAAAACCGACGTCGGGGGTCTGGGGAGGCAAGTGTCCGTGCATGATTTTGCATAGCATGTCCCCCCTTCCCCAGAGGAGAGGAAAAGGTACCCATGCTGCTACCCTTCGCCCGTTTTCCCCTTTTGCGGCCTCCTGGGAAGCCATCGTCGCCACCAGCAGATTCGCTTCAAAATCCTGGTCAGAACGCAACCCTGGAGATGTCTAGGGGGAATCGGTGTCGGTACCTCCTCGTGTCCCCAACCCCCGCCCCCCTCCGCCGCCTGTGCTCAGAGCGCGGAGCCAGGAATGCGCGTGAGTGAGTCCTAGCTTGTGTGAAGTCCAGATGCCCTGTCGGGCCTCACCACGACCCCCCCCTCCCCCCCACCTCCATGCAAGCAAACTTACCAGAATCCAGGGAAGAACGGCGTCTTGGGAACTGGCATCTTAGATCTACGACGATGTGATTTCCCAAGGACCATCAAGAACGGGTCCATGGTGAAAAAGTACCCCTTGTAAATCGGTCTCGGGGCGTCTGGGGCCGCGGATTGAAATAGTCATCTTGGCGGATGTCTGGAGTTCTGGGGAATCGAGAGAAGGGACGGGAAAGCTAAGCGTGTAACAACAGCTGTTCCCGTATCTCCGAAGTACTGATCAAAAGCACAAGTGCTTGTGCTTACACACAAAATTTGTATCGAGCGATCCCTGCCCAAGATCGCGAGGCAGGGTATACAAGGAGCAATGGCACACTACGGGGCCTGGCGGCCGCGGCGTGCAGGGTCTTCGAGGCGGGTCGGGAGTTCCGTTCGTCGACTAGCAATCCCAGACCAAAACTTGGCGGGTGTGTATTGCAATGATACCAACAGCTGTTCCCAGACCTCCAAGTCATATTGGACAAAGAGAGAACGGCTAAGCGTATAAATCATTTGAGGGTAAAGATGGCTTCTATCAGGGTTGAGAGCATGTGTCATGGGTCCAACATTTGCTCTGAGACCCGCCGTGTGAGACATCCTCAGACCATGCCAGCTGGTTGGTTGGTTGTTTGGTTGGTTGGTTGGCCCGTTGGTTGGTTGGTTGTCCAGCCGGTCGGTTGGTTGATTGACGATTCGTTGGTTGGTTGGTTGGTTTGCTGGTTAGTTGGTTGGTTGGTTGGTTGGTTGGTTGTTTCGATGGTAGGTCGGTCGATTGTCTTGTTGGCCAGTTGCTGGGTTTGTTGGTTGTTCGGTTTGTCGGCAAGCTGCTCACGCCGACAATGACTGTTGCGGCGGCGGAGCGTCGACGTCTGTGACAAGAACGACAATGACGACGAGAGCGACGACGACGACGACGTGGGCGGCGGCGACGTCGTCTGTGACAAGATCGACGACCACGAGGACGACGATGACGACGACGGAGACGACGACGACGACGACGACGACGGCGGCGACGACGAAGACGAGAACGACGGCGTGGACGACGGAGTCGACAAGGAGGACGACGAACGCGAAATCGACGACGAGGCCTGTCGGAGACTTTCGGATTCCTTCGGAATCCGCAGGAGGTTCACAGGATTCTGGCGGAATCAATCGAACATCCGTCGGATTCTTCAGGAGATCCATCGGAAACTATTTGGACACCACGTGACATCTTTTGAAACCGTTTCGCAATTTAGTCGGACCCCCTGGGGGTATCAAAGAACTTCGCAGGAGTCCTTTCTGGTAATCCTGCGGCACTCCTTGGGAAACCTGAGAGAATCAGACGGGCATCCACAGGGATCTGGATGAGGAATCATCGGCGCGTTCGCGACATGGCAACCTGGGGGGAGTTGGAAACCATGTTGTTCCGGACTACTCGTCATCCTCATAGTTCCCCTCCTGAGCCGATTCATTATCATTCCCATCATAATCCCATCTTCCTTCTGCACACCCTTTTGCTGAGTATTTCACGCGAACCATCGCGAGAAGTCGAGAGCCAAAGAGGTGCGTCGCATCAGCCAAATCCAAATCCGCATCTGACCTCGTCATCGTTATCATCCCCCTTGTCGTCCTTTTCTCCCTCATCAGAGCAGTCGCCACTATCATCCCCTTTGCTCTTAGTCCTCTTCCTGGCCATCATCCTCATTATCGGTGTCCTCATCATCTTGCCCCGATCCTTCAGCGTGTTCTCCAAGGGGCTTTCAGCCGAGACTCACTTCGGCATATGTTCCCGCCTCGGTTTCCTCAGAGGGCTGGGGGGATCGCCGATTGTGCACATCTCTCGTGTGCGTTGTGCCTGATATCCTTTCAGAGGCTTTCGTTTCAGGCGCGCTTCGGCGCACCCTTCGCGAATGTTTTTTCCTGCGGCTTCCCGGCTCAGCCCTACCACAGTCCCAGCACAGTCCCAGTACAGCCGCAGTGCAGTTTTCAAGTGCAGCCCTAGCACAGTCCCAGTGCAGCCCCAGAGTCCGAGTGCAGACTCAATACAATCCCAGTAGGGCACAAGTACAGGTCCAGTACAGTCCCGAGTGGCGCTCCATCGCAGCACCGACACACCAGTCCGAGGCTCCAGTGAAGCACCAGTGTAGCCCCAATGCAGTCCCAGCGCAGCAACAGTGCAGTCCCAGCGCTACACTGCCAGTGAAGTCCCAGGTCCCAGTCCAGTCCCAGTACAGTCTCGGTGCAGCCTCAGTACAGGCCCAGCACGCTCCCAGTGCAGTCCCAGCGCAGCTCGCGTACATCCCCAGTGCAGGCCAAGTGCAGTCACAGTACAGTCCCAGCATAACCCCAGTATGCTCCCAGCACAGCCCCATCACTGCCCAAGTACAATCTCGATACAGTCCCAGTACAGCTCCAGTGCAGTCCCAGCACTGTCCGATTGTGAAAGTCCAAGTGCAGCCCCAGCACATGGTCACTACAGCCCGTGTGCAGTCCCATTGCAGCACCAGCGCAGTCCCAGTGCTACAGCCCCAGTGCAACAGTCCCACTCCAGTGTTAGGACAACCTCAGCAGAAGCCCAGTGCTAGAGCTTCAGTCCGTTCCCGTTGCTCTGCCCTCGTATTGTCCCAATGCAGCCCCAGTGCAGTCCCAGCACTGTCCCAGTATAGTCCCAGTACAGTCCCAGTACAGACCCAGCACAGCCCCAACACAGTCCCACTGCAGTCCCCACATAGTCCCAGTACAGCCCCAGTACAGGCCTAATATATTCGTCGCCCGTGGTAGGGGGTGTATTTTTTCTCCTGTCGCCGACGGACTTACATATATGCGTAAAGCGGCCCATCCCGTCTCACGAATTACAAGATCCTAGACTTGGTTTACCCCCCCCACCTTCCCCCACCAGTTCGCGATTTATACCCTCCCTGTTACACAAAGGCAGTCCTGGCCACCTTGAGGCTCATTTTGGCGAAACGGACGCTCTGCGATGTTGTTTTCTTCGTGCCTACAAAAAGGTTTTCTTGGCGGCCGTCTTGGCCGTATTGGGGGAATGTTGACAAGTCTCGAGGCCATGTTGTGCCACCATGTGACGTTCTCGGACCGTCGTGACGTCTTCTTGGGCCATCTTGGCGGCCTTGGTTGTTGTGTTGGAAGCTCGTGGGCATTGTTTTCATTTGGTTGTTCGGTGGGCCGTGGCCCCAGGAGCGCTCATGGTTTGGTCTTTGCTGCAAGGATCGTGGTTTCGGGACCACGGACCACTTGTTGTGTTTACGAAGGGGTCGGGGCCTTGGGAGCGTGGGCCTTACCTTTTGGTACCAACGCTCTTGTGTTTTGATCTTTGTATCGAATCCGCAGCGCCACCCGTCTCTCCGCTCCACGCCTCTCCTCCTCCACCTACTCGTCCTCCTCATCTTCCCTTTTCGCGCGTTGGCACATCCCTCACATGTTTCGCGGCCCCATGGGGAGCTCCACCGAAGGCCCCAGTGGCTGCGTCCGCATGCGGCCCCGCCCAATCTTCGGCAGACCCCTCCCGCGCTGTGTGGACCCCATAAGGAGCTCCACCGAAGGCCACAATGGCTTTGTCCGCATGTGCCCCCTGCCCCGATTTGGAAGGCCCCTCACACGTTTCGTGCATCCTGAAAGCTCACCCCTTCCGTTCCCCTCTCGTCCGTCCTCGTCACCGCCACACCCCCTGCGTTTCGTCACCGTTCGGACCTGTGCCTCATCCGGGCTCATCGAGGAGGATCCCGGATGACAACTCACCTTGCGACGTGCCCTACCAATCGGCACCAACGGATGATATAAGATGTGCCGACACGAGTGCAACAGCAGCATTGCAAGAGACGGTGCACGGCGGACGTCTACATCGTGTGAAGTGAGCGTGGGCGACTTGAAAGTGGCGACAGTGTCACACCTTGGCCCCCCCAGCAGCCCTCGACAGTGGCGACAATTACACGCTTCGCAGTCCCCCCCTCGAGATGGCGAGGTCCTGTTTGGACCTGCGTCGAACCCCATTGTGTTGCCCCTCAGCTGCCCTCGAACGTGGTGTCAATGTCACACTTCGCAGCCCCCCCTGGGATGGCGAGGTCTTTTTGGGGATCTGCGTGGGACCCCACTGCGCTGGCACCCCCAGCAGCCTCTGAAAGTGGTGAGAGTTTCACACTCTGACCCCCCCCCCCCAAAAGATGGCGAGGTTCCGTCTGGATCTGCGTGGGGCCCCACTCTGCTGCCCCCCGAGCAGCCCTCGAAAGTGGCGACAGAGTCACACTTCGCAGCCCCACAGGGGTCCCAGGGATGGCGAGGTCCCGTTTGGATCTGCGTGTGGCCCCACTGTGCGGCCTTCTTCGGGCGTTTTAGATTCCTCTTGCAATTCGGCCTTTTCGGCCCTCGTGGGGCCGTCTTGATGGCCCTTTGGCCGTCTTGGGGCCCTCTGGGCCCGACTCGGGAATCTCTTGGGAATTTGTGCGGTTTTCTTGGAGGCTTTTTGAGGCCAGATTCGGTTCTTCGGGAGTTCGAACAGGCGATAATCATAAATATTGGAGAACGTTAGCGATACAATTGATGTTAGCCTCCTGGAGGTCCTCTTAGAGCTCTCCTGGGGCGTCTTGGGGCGCCAGTTGTCGGATGCCTGAGAAGAGAGCGTGCTTGCTGGGTAGATTCTGGCAAGTGTGCTTGCATTGCATCTTCACCTCCTTGTACCTATGCATATGTATACGTACGCATTTGTATATATGTGTGTGTACCTATAAACATGTGCAAATACATTTATGCGTTTTTACATACATATCAGGGGTCGTGGTTTCTGGAGCGCGAATCCACGGCCTTTCGCCAGGAGTAGTCGTCTCTGGGCTGCGGAACCGATGCTCCTGTTCCACGGATCGTGTCCTCGGCAGCGCCGGCACCCGGCGTCCCACAGGGGATCCCGGCCTCGGGAGCGCGGCACCATTCAGTTCTACCGCCTCGTCGTGGCCTCGGGATCGCAGACCTTTTTCTTTTGGTCCTCCCCAGGCTCGGATCCAAAAAGGAGGAGGCAGGACGCAGGAGGAGGCCCCCGCCCGCCCGCCCTGGAGGTCTCGCACGATGGCGCCGGGCTCGAGGGCGGGGTCCTGCGCCGGCCGTACGGCTACGTGGAGGGGGAGGGGGTCACGCTGGACGCGGCGGCGCTGGAGGACCTCCCACCCCCCCAGCAGACCTCCAACGCATTTATTGACGAACAGCATTCACGAAAATCAAGGCGGCATTTCTGTCTACGTTTTCTCTGGCTCTGGAGGGCTCTCGCCAGGCCCACGAGACCGTCCAGAAAACGGCTCAAGGTGAAAAGCCGGTCCCAGGCAGGAGGTTTCCATTTCCATGTACCCCGCATGTAAAATCAACATCGGATTGTTGGGCCCTCTTGTGGAGGAGGAGGGGGAGGAGGAGGGAGGAGGACCAGAACCAAGGGCAAGATGCATCAACGATGCGATATTCGAATACGCGAAATTCGTTGAAACAAAAACCTCCGCAGGTCTGCGCGGATGTCTTGGATCGGCAATGGGCCTCCTTGCTCAGGAACTCCGCGCGGACCCCCTACAGTGTATGTTTATGTTGCATGCTTCCATTTCTAAGTACTCTCTCCCGTCCCAAGGCCCCTCGTGAAGTCCCTACAAGCATGTTTCTCTTAACAACCAGCTCGTCTCCGAAAGACGCGCCCCCTGTGTGCCTGCCACTCAGGCGATATCCTTGGTATGAAAGGTATCGGCCTTGTATCTTTCAAGCGATGCGTGCTGCCAACAGATGGGATCATACGTTCGGTCGGCGTGACAGCGAGAGCCCCTGTTTGACAAGGAACCGCCCCCCGCCCCACACCCCTGCACCAATTGCACACATTCACGCTCTTGATTACTCAACGTCTTCAAATCGCAAGCGAGGGCCCCAATTTCAGAAGAAAGTGGCCTCTTCCCGTGCAGGTGTCACTCGTCTTCAATTCCTGCCAGAGGAGGTTCGACTCAAGCGAGAGCCCCCTTCCTCCCCCTCATGTTCACCTCCACCTCATCGTCTCCTCCTTCCTGCCTTTCTTCGCGTGCCATCCCTCTCCTTCTCCAGCCGTCTCCTACGAATACGACCCCCCTCTACAGTGAGCGGCTTGGATAAGGAACGCCTGCTTTTCAAACGGAGCTCGGTCGTTCCGCTACCTTTTTGGCGGCGACCCCCCCCCCCTGATGTTCTTTCAGATGTTGGACGCGCGGGTCGGCTGTTCCTTCGGACTTCGTAGAATTCTTTGGAAAACAGGGGCTACGTTCCTTATCTATCCTTCCTTAGGTCAGGCCGATGACTGTAGTCTGATCCTCTTTCTCGGTCCCTCCCGTCGCCCATTCTCTCATCTGCCCGACTCCGAGATGGATGTTTTCTCAACCGCCAGGCGCCGACAGCTCGCGTGGCACCGTCGCCCATGTCGGGCCTGGACCCGATCCAAATTCTTCGGAGAGGAAAGGGTTCTCCTCCTCCTCCTCCTCCTCCTCCTCCTCCTCCTCCTCCTCCTCATGGTGCAAAGACACCAGAGCCACTCTCTGAGCCCTGAGTGCTTCTTGCTTCGGCGTTCCTCCTCCTCCTCCTCCTCCTCCTCCTGCTCCATTCCTCCTCCTTTTCCTCCTCCTCCATTCCTCCTCCTCCATTCCTTGTCCTTGCAAATAACTTCTTCCTGTCGCACCCCGAGGCTCTTCGCCCGAGACTTGCTCATCACTCATGATTCTGAAGCTTAAACAGTGGCAGCAGCTTCACAGATGGAGGGCGGGTCGCTTTCAAAATGTGACTCTCGCCATGGCGCCGCGCACATTCTTGTAAAGCACGTGCAAGAGTTTTGCGGATTGAGGGCGGTTTATTCAACATGTGGTTCTCGCTTCAGCGCCGCGCACATTTCACTGATTGTGGGCGGGTCGTTGTCAAAATGTGGTTCTCGCCTCAGCGCCCGTCGCACTGGCTTTAATCCTGTGCAAGAGTTTCACGGATTGAGGGCGGGGTGGCTCTCGCTTTAGCGCAGCGCACATTCGTTTTCAACAATTGCATGAGTTTCACGGGTGGCTTTCCAAATTTGGGTCTCGCCTTAGCGCCGCGCGCATTCGTTGTCAGTCAACAATTGCCAGAGTTTCACGGGTTGAGGGTGGTTTTTTTTCAGAGTATGGTTTTCGCCTTAGCGTTGAGCGCATTCGTTTAACAAACATTGAAAGAGTTTTCCGGATTCCCATGATCAACGTATCAGAAATGGTGTGTTTGAAGGATTCAGGATTACGCGGGTGTAACAGTTATATAAATTCGCAGTGTTGGCGTCCCAGAAATGGCGTTTGTCACGATTTCGGATCGTCGAAACGCAGCAGTCAGGTTGATCGGTGGCGTTGAAATCTCCTCCTCCACCTCCCTCGTGATCGTTCTTGAGAACAGTGGGTTTCCTCCCGCCTCGTAGCCTCTCCTCTGCTTGTCCTTTCCCGCTGCCGTGTTTCTCAAGGCTCTGAGGAGCCGTTTGCATTTTGGGGTGGGCGGGCGGGGCCATAGCACGGGCACTCTGAGGAGTGCTGGGTAGTGGCTGGGCCAGGTCCCCCCTCCAGTGCGGGCGGGGGCTCCGGAGGGGAGCCCCGCGGCCCGCAGCAGAGTGAGGCATGCTGATCCGCCCTCGTCGGCGCGCCCGGCCTGGCGCAGCGGCGGGGAGACATGAGGGCGCTCCACAGTATCGAGTGCACGCTCGCGCTTGCCGTCGGGGCGCTGGTCACCTGGCTGGACTCGTCTTTCGGCGTGAGTTGGTATGCGACGGTGCATGCGACGGCCACCATGGCGAGCCCCGAGGAGGGCGGCCATGAACGGGCACACCCTGACGAGGAGGGTGTCCAAGACGAGCAGCAGGCTTCGCCGGGAAATGCGCACGGAGCTGGCTGCAGTGCCACGGACAGTGACGAGCTGCCAGCGGTGGGGGCGCCGGTCAGGCCACCTCCAGCAGCGGCGTTCCCTGCACCGATCGAGCCCTTGGTCACGGACCCGCCGCCAGCCATGGCCGGTCTGGACGAGCGCTCTGCCGAAAGCAGCGGAGGAGACCAGAGTACCACCGCTGCTACGGCTACTACTACGCCGACGACCTCCCAGCGGAGGCGAGGCCGGGGCCCCCTTCCGGGAGCTCCTTGGCGGAGGAGGAAACGGAGACGCCCAGGAGGCGGGCTCCGAGTCGGGATGAGGTCAGGCGGGGGGCCAGGCTGAGGAGGTGCGCGCCGCAGAGGAGAGCCCTCCCCCGCCCCCGCCGAAGTTTGGCGGCGTCGTCAACGCCACCGCGGACGACAAGGCACCGCCGCCTCAGGATGCTCCTCCCCGCGACGCTGAGCCGAAGTTGCCACTCTTCTCCAGGGAGAGAGTCAGCGCGGGAGTCGAAGCTGCACTGAAGTGGCTGGGAGAAAGGACGGGCTACGCTTTGGGCGCTCACCTCCACCAGCTCATCGCCTTCATGATAGGTCTGGTGGACTCCATGGGCCGCTACATGCTTGGCGCCTACTGGGCCAAGCTGCAGTGGGCTGCTATAGCCATGGTGGTTGGTGGTCTTGGTTGGCACCGTGCTGGGCTCCACCGTGGGCGTTGTGATCTGGTTCGTGGGCACGGCATGGAGATACTTGACCCTGATGTTATCCACGATGGGGGGCTTTGCGCAGGGCAGCAAGTCGGGGCACGACGCGAAGCTGGCGCTGGGCGGCAACACAGCCGCAGCGCTTACCTGGCATGGCAGTGCCGAGGCCCTCGAGATTGGCGAAGACTACATCAAGACCGAGGTCCGAGGCCGAGGAGGAGGGGCAGAGAAGATGATGCCCAACGACCTCATCGTCCGTTCGGGAGGCTCCGTGGCTAGGCTCGAGCAGGGTCCACGGGTCACTCGCCACGGGTATGTCTACAAGTTCCGGGACGTGAAAGGGAGTTCGCATCGGCACCTGAAGGCGGACCTGGAGGCCACCCGCGCCGACGACGGTATCGGGATGGTCCACCTGTGCGCCGCTACCCCGTGTACGCTTCCCCTTGGGGGCAAGGCGATGGTGCATATTTGCTCGTCGTGCGTCGTGCCCCACAGCTCCCCGATCAACGTGGCGGACCTGGCCAAGCTCTCCCCCGCAGGCCGAGCCCGCGCAGGCGGGAGGCTCTGCTGTGCCTGGGCGGGTCGAGGCGCAGGAAAGGCCATGGGGCGTCTACTCAGGTGCTGTGCCCGCAAGAGGATGAGGCACCCCAAGCCGGGGCACCCCGCCAGCAAGGCGGAGGAGATGGACCCCAACTCGGAGACGGAGTCGGAGCCCAGCGTTGACGTCTGCCAGGCCGACCAAGCGGCCTACCTCGCCGAGGGCAGCACGCAGGTCTTGAGCGCTCAGTGCTGCAGGGACACTGCCAGGCAGAGTCCAGTCTTCCTCTTGGTGGGGGATGCTGCTATCTCGGACACTCGCGACCTGCAGGAGGAGGCCGGTACTTGGACTTTCCGCGCGTGCGTGCGTCACGCGGGTGCCTGCGAGAGCCAGGCAGCTCGGCGGAAGTGTCCCCAGTGTCACCGCGCCCATGTGATTGAGAAGGGCGGCTTCCCGCTCTGCGCTGCTCACGCGGCTGATCGCGCGGTGGGCTGGCGGGGCCGGTCCGCGACTCCCCATCGAGATGGCGAGGACGGCGACCAGCGCCCAGGAGGCGCGAGGCCAGAGAGGAGGAGTGAGGAGCGCGCGGCTCGTCGCGCGCCGGCGGCCGCCAGCCGCAAGGGCAGCCCAGCCAAGGCCGAGGCGGACGTGGTCTGGCTTATCCACGTTCGTGACCCTCTGGCGCCGGAGGGATCGGAGTGGGGCGCATGCCACAGCTTCCCCGCCCGCTTCATCGGCCCGACGAAGAACGGCAAGAGCGACGACCCACGTACGGATGTGGAGGCGATGGGCTTGGGGCTGACCTTCTCCGTCTCGGACGTGGCCTCCGCCTTCCCCAGGCCCGAGCTGCTTGGCGAGTTCGTGGAGGCGCAGCCGCCCGCGATCTGCTGGCGCCCTGGCGCATCGTTGCGGCTGTCGGACCACGGGGGCGGCGCGAACTACCGCGGCGACTCCTTGAGCCCTGCATCAGCCATCGCCCTGAGCAAGGACCGCAGTCGGCACTTCATGGCCAAGCGGGCTCGATCGCGGAGTCGCAGCGCTACTCCTACTCGTCG